TGAACGGACAAACTTTCGCTAGTTTTTCACCCACTACTCAATCTTATCACCACAACAGTCTCGAAATACTGTAGGCACAAGTATTGTCCGTTGTTATAATAATTACAATAAATTCGACGATCAACTGATAGAAAGAAAATAATTTTAAAAGGGAATTAAAAATTGTGTTTATTTATTCCGTGGATAAGAACCATTCCGTGGAATATAAGTATAACAATAATATCAGAACAACATCTTAACATTCAACATTTTTCAACATGAGAGCTAGACGATGGGATAATGGTCGCTTATATAACGCGCCAAACACCAATTTTGCGCCATGAATTATTAAAATTGGTATCTAGATCGGCAATGAAATTTCTAGTGTCACTACTCCTAAAAATTAAGTCGATCATGGGCTGCGGACTGCGGACCACGGAGTAAGATTTTATCACATGATTTGCTGCGGCCAATTCATCGTCCGTATATGTTTTACAATTTAATTATGGAGTAAACTAGTTACCTCCATCATGATCAGAAATTGCTTCTGCAATTATAAATTAATTAGTTCTAATTTCTATTTGACAATTAGTTCTCTACTAATCGTTAGAAAGTGGTTTTTGTTTTCTCTTTTAACGTTTCAAATTTACTTGGTTTTTTAAAGCAACGTTTTATGGCTAATACTAAGTAAAATTTGTCCTTCTATTTTTTTTGTTTTTTTGTTTTGTTTTTCGCTTCCACAACTTTTTTTTCTCAAAGCTTTTTTTTGTTCCTGCAAAGTTTTTAATTTCTTTGTCAGATTTTTTCAATATTTTCATTTTTTTTTCTTCCTTTTTTTTTTCTAATAATAATAACTAGGAACACTTCTCAATCAATCCAATTAATATTAAATGGTCTTTATCTTGTAAATGTCTAACTGGAATTTGATATAAATTTTTTCCAGCCTAACCTTTTTCTTTGAGACTAATATTACTATTACCATTACCACAATTCCCAAAACGAGAAAAACAAGTATATATAATCAAAATTGTATATCAGATAGGTATTCGTAATATTAATAAATTCGATGCGTGTTAATAATATTACAATAGTAATAGTTTGATATCTTTAATAGTACTGTACATTCATATTATTACGTGCCAATGTTCACCTTGTACGAGTCCCGATTCGAAAAGAAGGACAAGGATAAACAAAATACTAAACACCGTAGGCTTCATGGGTCCTTGTTTGATATTCTTGAACGTAGGATCTGATGTTCGCGCCAAGATCTTCGATCATATTGACCGTTTTGAGCTCGTAATTTAATAGTTTGATGACAAATTTCAATCGACCAGTTTTCGAATGGTTTCAACGTTATGTTTTCACGCTACTTATATATTATAACGAGTTTGTTACTTTGATTTATGCGACTGTATGATAAAGGGAAGACTTAAATGACAGTGTGTGACATTAAATTTAACACAGATTAAATGTCATACCCGTCAGCTGATCACAAATTATTGCCAAATTAACACAGATTAACATTAAGACTGTCCAAACAAGATGTTCACAATGATCTATTTAACACAATGTGCAAAATGCTACTTGGACTTTGGGGATGCTTTTATCAAGACTGACCACAGCCCCATTGTTCCGTTACAAATTTTTTCAGATATTAGGAAATTGTTTAATATTAAGAACACTATGCATGCTCCTTGTAGAAGACGAAATTAGTCTTAGTCCGTGTTTTAATTCAGCCTGTCCTGTGTGTCTTTAGATAATGTTTGAATGCCATCTTGAAAATCGATTGCTTCTGAGATTAAAAAACAATTATCTTCTACAGGAAGAACATTACAGATTGCACGGTTAATATTAATTATATTTGCTGTTTTATGAAGACTAACAACATGCGTTATTGTTAAAACATTGTCTAACGACATCTCAGCTTGATAATCTGCCGCTTTTTCCAAGAGCTTGTCCCAAGTATTAGTATCTTGGGAAATGTTTCCAAATTGGATTTCCTCAAGCATGTTATAGAAGCTCCTGTTCTAATAATAATAAGCCGTTATCGTAGTATCGTAAACTTCCCTCAAAATACATGGAGTCTTGGTTGAATTTGTGAATATGTATGTTTCAATGTCGTTACCATCCAATTCAACCAGCACCATCTAAGGGTAACCATAGTGTGTATTGGAAACTCCATCTGTATCACAATTATCATTAGACCAATATAATTGTTACAGTTCAGTTTTATACTCTTAATATTAAATAACATAATATTGCTATCTCTACTATACGAAGTAAATATTCGCGAAGTAAAAGTTTAACTATCACGATTTCTTAAAATGGTTCCGTAATATGTTTGTCATAGCATTGAAGAAGACTAATCATTGCTTACACACTACCCCAAACTCGGAATAAAATGTGATTTACAGTATTAGTATGTCTAAGAAGCAGTTAAATTCGACCTCGAACAATTGAGTGCGGTCTAAATACAAAATAAACGATAAACCAAGCGCCCTAATTAAAGTATGTACTACATCTTAACAATTATAGTGTAATATTAAGAACAATCAACTTTTGTACTACTCAACTTGATGTGAAATGATATTAATATTTGAAAAAACTCTTATTATTATAAATATCTGATATCATGCTTCAAATACATGCTTATGTCTGATATTCGATTGTCAACTCGGAATAAATTTAGTTAACGTCTCAATCCAATTAATATTATGATGGAAGTCTTTCATACCCTCAATACTAGAAACATAATAATGGGATGGGTTATTCGTTATCTACAGTATACCACGCTATTATACACACCAATGTTCCGATAATAATAATTTATCTATAATTTTATTACTGGGAAAAAATTTTATAGGCAAATGACAGCCATAATATTTCTTCCTTAGATCTAATCGAATGAAGAATGTAAAAGGGCTAGCGTTGATTAGTGATCTTTATATAACGCACAAAAATAAAGAAAAGAGTTGTTCAATAAAAATGTCTTTAGACGTCAATTGAATTTTCCTAATAATTATAATAATAACAGATATACAACAATACAAAGTATCAAAATTTCCGTAAATGTATAACCGTTGTACGCATAATCTACTGTAGTTCTCGAGACAATCAGTAATTGTGACAGATTAAAACGAAATCTTATTACGTATTTCATACTTAGTTCTTTCGAGATTTGTCACCCGGAGAAGAAAAACAGCAGATATGATTAAAAAGCCGTATTTTAACCATAAGTGACTTTTAAAAACCAAGTTACATTCGTACAATTTCAAAATTGCTTAAAAGCCTGACACTATGCTTTGGGTTCGGGAATCTAAAGAACGTGAAATGGTCGATAAAAGTTAGAAAGTTAAAACAATTTGAATACATTATTAACAAAACATTTACTTGGCGAAGACCACATTTCTAAGTATTTAGTATGTCTTTATTTCCATTTTGATTACGTCACAATAATTATATAAGAACCCCCCACTTTTCGGATAATTTTTAACCATTTATAGTGATTTTTTGTTAAGCTTTAACTATAAACAGTAAGATAGGCCTCCAAATAGAGGTCAAAATCGTCCATAAAAAGTCAAGCAGTCCTAGAAAAGAAATTAAGCGTTGCGCACGGATCGTTTCTAATGTTAACATAATTTGATAAAGAGCGCTGTGAACTCATCGATTACAAGAAAGTTTGCATATGAAAAATATTTACGTATAATTGCTTAGAACAATTTATTGCGATAAATCAATTTAATATTACGGGATTTCCCAAACATTAAAGTTACAATGAATAAGAAATGTCCGGAAAAGACGCGCCACCTTGGTCTCAGAGATAAAGTGCTATTCATATCAATTGCTGTTAATCTGGGGGGATGAATTACGTATAACATAATCTTGCAATGTAGCAATCCGCGAAACCTATCCCCTGTAATGGAATAAGACATCCCTGATATAAATCACGTAATATGCCAAAGTATTTTGATCATTGCAGATAACAAAACACGCAGACGTAAACTCGGACAACGTTTGCGTAGTGACTTGGACAAACTAATGCATGCACGTGTACTATACATTGGTTTGAAGGTAGTCTTTCTTCTTTTATTTCTTGGGCAAAATCACTCGTACACCACCTTCCAATACAGGTGTAATTAAATTGGTTTTCTATTCATACGTCTAATCACGCTTTTTATTAAATAATTCTTAACCCCTATTGTCATTCTTCTATGTGTTATTTGTACTTTTATCATAGTTCATCATGTTTAGTTTTATCGTACTCATCCGCACATATGGCAGGTGTTTTCATTTTCATAACGTATTCACATTTCTCCGGCTCAGAGACTTCAACCAATTCATTTACTATCCCACATTCGAGATATACCTGTTCAATTTTGTACGAATCGAACATTAGAATATGCATTAATTGGTAGTGATCGAACAAGTAAAAATTTATAACCTGAAGCGCTGTCTTACCTTGGTCGATCTCACGGGTCCGTTCCAACATCGAGCACCGTTATCGTATAGCTGTTCGGTATAATATGATGGGTCCTCAGATGAATCTGCGCCGGTCCATTTAGAGAATGAGCTAGCCGTGTCAGAGTGAAGGGAGTTTTAGTATTTGCATAAGTATGTAAAAAACTTTTCAATATCTATACTAACCCAAGACTGGTTGTATCATAATTTGTGTTACTCTTCTGGTTTACAGTACCAAATGGACAGAGGGTATACGTATACCTAAATAAATAAAAAAGAAAGTAATAATCAGTTATATAGAAAAAAAAACCAGGCATCTATGTAATTATTCGTATACGTACTCTCCCGAGTTTAGGTCAACGCATTCTCCATCAAGTTTAGCAAATTCCTGTTGTCTGCCATAGTCTGCTTCAAGTTTCCTATTAACCTCTGAAATCTGTGTCTCTGCATTTCTCACTTCGCTTTCGGCCGTCGAAACGGCGTTGCGAGCTTCAATTACGGCTATGTCACCAATACGTAACATGTTAGCTATAAAGCACAAAAAATTATGCGGTAGTCTCGTAAAGCTATACCTTTGGATTGCCCGGGGGATGATGCAGACTGTGATTCTCCATTGCTCGAAGAATACTCTTCAAAACCGATCGCATGCATAATACTATTGAAACTCTTCTTCAGCATCCCAAAAACACCTTCCGAAGGTGTCTCAGCTATCATTATCAGAAACATATTATAAATTTTACTTCTAATACGCAAGTTTTTTATGCGCAAAGCGTATATTTTCAATACCTGGTTTCTCCTCTTTCTCATCCTCATCCTCATCTTGGTCTTCTTCCAAATCGTCTTCTATCTTAGCTTCGCCACTACCAACATAATCCTGATATTCACCCACATTGTCATCATCGCAATCTCCATCTTCTTCATTACATATTTCATCTCTATATGTACGGTATTCATCCCGTTCGTTTATAAACTCATCGTATCCAGAGATGGCAGCTTTCACCGCCATATCATGATAATTGGGATTATGATCGTTTTTTAGGTCTTTCAAAATGGATAATAACGCATTGATATCATCCTGAAGTCCGGTTATGCGTGACTGTAATGCTTGTATCTGAGATTTATACGCTTTGATTCTCTCGCGGTATACTTGGAAAGAGAACGATAAAAATTTGGCAAAAGAATGATAGCTTGTTAGGAAGTTACATTCAACAGTGGAAATATATGAATGGAAGCAAGTAAATATAAATGTAATAACGTATAAATATCAGGATGTAAACGCATACTTTTCATCTTGGATGTCTTTGATTTCTTTTGTTCATCTTCGGCTCGTTTCAAGGCCTCTATAAAAGTTGTCTTTGTGAATCACTATTCAATGACCAACAAAATCGCATAATGTCACATGTCGTCTTCACACCTTTCCGTTCAACAACTCTTTGCTTCGCTGCTTCTAATTCAACCTGCAGTTTTTCTAAATTTGCTTCCCGCTCGCTTCTTAGCTTTTTCCCATGCTCTATATATTCTTGTTTTATCTTCGCGCCCTGTTGATCGCACAATAAGTTAGTTATTACATTCTATAACACAAGTTAAAGTAAAGTATCCTCATCGACATGAGGAAGAGATTGCTTAAAATACCATCGCGTGCAAATCAGCCAATTCTTTCATTTTTTGCCTATACTCCCTCTCGGCTATATCACAGACATTCGAACACTGAACAAATCCGCGGTATTCATCTGATCCGTCACAGCATTCCGGTTCTACAACGATTTCACGTAAATAACAATCTGCCAATTCAATCTGTGAGACAAATCAAAAAACCTACCGCATATGCCATCGTTCACTCGTGATGATGAAATATAAGCGGGAATATGACCCTTGTTTTCACAATAGAAGAGATTATCTGGACAAGCCGAGGTTCCTGAATAATCAAATTTTGCATATTAGATGTGCACGTTGATTGATTGGAAATATTACGTTAAATCACAAAGCATACCTGGTTCATCAGAACCATCATTACAATCACAATAGTCGTCGTTTATCGCTTCGTATGGTATTTCTGCTGACCCATCGAGACAGGTCCAGTGGTCTCCCTTGCGTTCATATAAATGCGCCTCTGGGGTAGGAAAGGTAAATCAACAGTGAAAACTTGACTATACAATAGGCTAATTTCATGCGCGATTATATTGGACAACGTACTAGACGGATCAATCCCTCTTATTTTAACTGCTTGAATGGCAGATAAACTACAACATATTGTAAATAGAATCAAAAAAATAGCAGATGAAATCCGTGGAATATTTCGACACGAATCTTTGGAAAGGAGCATAGCTAGCTGATCGGCACTCAGACAATTGGTTAGAATTCGCAAATATATTTTTCGTTGGCGAGATTCTATTGGGGGAGAGAGTTACACAATATTAAAAGTTTGACGAACTCGATCAAAGTACCCATTCTCGATTCCTGTGGTTTAACTCTGTATTATTTATACATCTGAGTTTGAAATTGACGTTACTATCATGAATACGCTGATTAAGCACTGAAGAATAAATAAAGTCTAAGCTAATTACATCATTGTCGTAACAGTAAATTCTCCTCCCTCCTACACATTTGCGCGACTCCACTTCCCTTCTGGCCACCGCAAAATTTCTCCAACTCTTCCCTCCTTCGTACATCTTCTTTCTCTTCGACCAACGCCTTATCCGACTTTCTTCCGCTTTTCTTATCAATGGCGCATAGTTCTCCGCCGCAATTCGTTGTAAATTGACAACGATGCTGCTAGGAGTTTCTAGATATATTTTGAAGGCCAAAATCCCTCAGTAAACTCTCCGTATCAGCAACAACTCCTATGAGCAAACCAACTCTGGTCATTTGACAATGAACAGAAGGGACAAAAGAACTGTCTCGATAGTGGATTTAATATCGTAACTTACCATATCGTTACTAGTTTTGTTGCTTTGAATATGACTATCGCAAAACAAAATCCAGCATACTGATTTACCCTGGGTCAATTCTCTTAATAGGCTACTATACGAAGAACTTTTTGATCTCAGCTCTCAAATGCAAAAGTCATTGATGAAGAATTATATATTTACCTTTCCCAGATTCTTAATTTATTGTCTGAAGAAAAATTATCTCCTACTAATCTTATCATAGCGTCTACAGCGACAGATGTCAAAGAAGGTGAAGAAAATATGACCAAAGCGGAACTTTTGTTGATAGAAACCCTTCTCGAACAGCTGTGTGGAAAAATATTCTGATTTACCATTACGGACAAAAAAACGAAGTGAATGTTAAATATATTAGAAGAAATAAAGCATCTATTTAATTCGGATTACAGTCAAGACTGGATATAACAATACTCCCGTTAGGTCACATTTAAAGAGTTATTGTTAATACCAGGAATTCTATTTATAGCGATAACATAATAGTTACGAAAAAAATATCGTTACAAGATATTATCTATCTTGTTTGATACTGGTTTTATTGAAAAAAAGATTCAGCGATACTACAAACTACATTCTGATGACAAAACCGTCTAGCATTGACTGTTTCTTATTATTGACGTGATGCATTAGCGCTTGTTCGTAAGGAGCGTACGGTTAATACAGTACTTGCATCGCAATTTAAAACCTGCGGGTGGATGAACGAGAAAATTGAACACATCGTCAATACAAGGCTTTGCAAATAGTTAATTAGTAATCTTGTTAATATCGATAATAATTGTGTATTAATATTTATAAGTCATACCAGTCTCATCACTATTAAAACGTCGTTTAAATCCTATTACCTCACATAACCGTACTGTATACGTTTATCTTCAAGAGTATGCAAAGGGGCACTTCGACCTTCACCATGCTTTATATATTGACATATTTGAAATCTTGTTTAAATCCACGTAGCCAATCGTTTGATGCAGTCAGATTTTCAATTTCTAACGACTGTGCAAAGTGTCGGGCCTTGAGTATCTCCTGTTAAAATTTAGAAAGAGCTTGTATAATCCACAAAACTAACGCGGCTTTCACTTGGGAAATAATAGTCTACAACTACTCATCCTATTGAACTCTTTTGACTGTGAGTTAACAGCCAACCACTTCTTATTTTTCCAGATATCAGAAATTATATTTTGTTTAACGACAAGCTCTCCCTGAAAAGGTTTGAGCTTAGTAGAGAAACATCCTTTTTTGTGTAAAGGTCAAACGTGTTCTCAAACGGTTTGTTGGACATTGGGTGTTTTTCGTTTATTGAGTAAGTATTAAACATTGAAATTCGGGGAAATGAATACACTCCCCTACCATAATAATAAATTACCGGATTTCTTGTCAAACACATAGTAAAACATATAAAATTATTGTTTTTCTTTCAAAGAAGATAATTGACTGTACTTTTCGAGAGAAATGGTGGTATATTTAAGCCCGTTATTATTCCGAAACTTGTAGTTCAACAAAGTGACAGTATCTATGTTACAATATGAAAAGCTGTGGAAACATATTAATATGTGTAATGTAAACAGTGTCATTTATCGAACTGCAGCTTCGGAACGATAACAGGGTGACTTACAGTAACAATGACAATGGTCACACTGTAGAAACATTAGAAGGATTTTATTTTTAGCAGTAAAAAATTTTCACTGGTTAATAAACTGACTATAGTGATAATATCGATAACAATATGATATAACAATGACAAAAAGATGAGAAGAATTTTTATTTTTGACAGTAAAAAATTTTCACTGGTTAACAGTTCCGCGTTTGATTTTAATTAGTATGAGTAGTGATATTAATAACAATAGTATAAAAAGCGGTAGAAACATTGGAGAGATGAAGATCGTACAATTACGATAAGCCACGCGTATGAAACTGATATGATATTGATAACAATACAAGTGTAAACAACAGAAACATTTAGAATGATTGTCTATTTTAGATCATACAAATAACAGGTCCGGAGTATATAATAACAATCATGTTACGTTGACACAAGATTTATTTATTTTGCTTTTTTGTAATATTAATTAAATTTAAATTAAAAATAGTTAATTGGTTGTGTTTGTTCTGCAATACGCTGAAGTCTTTCATACTCTCTAATTACATTAGGATATATTGTAAAGGCGGTTTTATGTAACGCACTAATGCTTAGACTATCCCAAGAGGGGCATCTACTAATAGCAACGTATTGGGGCAGACTGCAACAAAACCAGACAAAGTGAACATTCTGAAATAAGAGGCTTGTGTGGCTGAAAGTTAACTAA